TCCTTCGGCACCATTGTTCACACCCTCCACCTGCCTACAATACCTCCACCTGCCTACAATACCTCCACCTGCCTACAATACCTCCACCTGCCTACAATACCTCCACCTGCCTACAATACCTCCACCTGCCTACAATACCTCCACCTGCCTACAATACCTCCACCTGCCTATAATACTTCCACCTGCCTACAATACCTCCACCTGCCTACAGTACCTCCACCTGCCTACAGTACCTCCACCTGCCTACAATACCTCCACCTGCCTACAATACCTCCACCTGCCTACAATACCTCCACCTGCCTACAATACCTCCACCTGCCTACAATACCTCCACCTGCCTACAATACCTCCACCTGCCTACAATACCTCCACCTGCCTACAATACCTCCACACTACAATACTATCTGGCCCCTAGCTACAATGCCTTCCCCACACTACAACAATATCTTCCCCCTGCATACAACGCCTTCCTGTCACTACAACACCACCTCTTCACTGCCTACAATACCTACCCCAGACTACAACACCACCTCTTCCCCCCCCCCTAATAATACCCACTACAGCACCCTCCAATCCACTTATCCCACTGTAACTCATCCACTCCCCATCACAACGACTCAACAGCTGCTTCGTGTTGTTCTGCCTTAAGATACTCGTCTTTCAAGACACAAGTCTTGGCCTCAAATGCCTGGCGAGCTAGAATACCTTTGCTAAAGTTCCTTTAATGCCTTCGTCCTTGTACAGAAAACGAGTGGCTGGTGACCTGGATGTAAAGTGATTTGCTGATCGTGTTCTAGTGACGTAACTATAAGGTCAAGAGTGGGGTGGACTATCCCCAATCGTCCCCCCCAACCCCCACCCGACCTTCAAACTCCCCCCCCCTACACACCCACCCTTATCCAGGCTACCAGCATTGTCCTTCGACTAACCACCACTATCCCTCTCACTCTCATCTAGTCGGTCTTACCCATTCCTTCCCTCTCTCTCCCTTCCCTTCTCACCCGTTCTGCGTGCCTTCCCTTCTCGCGAGCAGCGTGACGCTTCTCCAGAACAGTGTGACACTCTTCGTGCAAGTAGTGCAACAGGCTTACACTAATTTACACTTACTTACACTTACGCGCTAATTATTCGTTAATTTAATATTTCCGTTCAATTCAGGCCAGTGTCTCTGCCACAGCTGTCATGTCTCTGCCACAGCTGTCATGTCTCTGCCACAGCTGTCATGTCTCTGCCACAGCTGTCATGTCTCTGCCACAGCTGTCATGTCTCTGCCACAGCTGTCACATCTCTGCCACAGCTGTCACGTCTCTGTCACAGCTGTCACGTCTCTGCCACAGCTGTCATGTCTCTGCCACAGCTGTCACGTCTCTGCCACAGCTGTCACGTCTCTGCCACAGCTGTCATGTCTCTGCCACAGCTGTCACGTCTCTGCCACAGCTGTCATGTCTCTGCCACAGCTGTCATGTCTCTGCCACAGCTGTCACGTCTCTGCCACAGCTGATACGTCTCTACCACAGCTGTCATGTCCCTGCCACAGCTGTCATGTCTCTGCCACAGTTGTCATGTCTCTGCCACAGCTGTCATGTCTCTGCCACAGCTGTCACGTCTCTGCCCCAGCTGTCACGTCTCTGCCTGAGTTGTCATGCCTCTGCCACAGATGTCATGTCTCTGCCACAGCTGTCACGTCTCTGCCACAGCTGTCATGTCTCTGCCTCAGCTGACACGTCTCTGCTACAGCTGTCACATCTCTGCCACAGCTGTCACGTCTCTGCCACAGCTGTCACGTCTCTACCACAGCTGTCATGTCTCTACCACAGCTGTCACATCTCTGCCACAGCTGTCACGTCTCTGCCACAGCTGTCACGTCTCTAACACAGCTGTCATGTCTCTAACACAGCTGTCACGTCTCTGCCACAGCTGTCACGTCTCTGCCACAGCTGTCACGTCTCTACCACAGCTGTCACGTCTCTGCCACAGCTGTCACGTCTCTACCACAGCTGTCACGTCTCTGCCACAGCTGTCACGTCACCACAGTGGCGGAGCGACACACAACCAACGTTTCCTTACACATATTTATATAAATCATAAATTTAATTTTCGTTTCTCTGGCTTCCGACGGTCACGATTCACAACCCCCACGACGAAGGCACTTGGGCGCGAGGTTGTGAGGAGATTGTGAGGCGTGAGGAGGTTGTGAGGTGTGATGAGGGTGATATGGCGGCGCTGCAAGCCAGGGAGGGGCCCCCAGGCTCAAGGCTAGACGGGTATGAGCCACTCACAAAAAATCTTTAAAATGCTAAAGTTCATGAGGCTCCGTTTCTGGTTCCCCCCGAGCATTATATCCCGCTCCACCTGCCCTCACGTCGGGTACTGTCGGGTGGAATGATGGGCGGTGGCATGGGCGCGCCCGAGATGGGGGCCCAAGGCGTGGGCTACAACTTGTACCCCGAGAGGCGAGATGTGCACACCACGGTGGTCCAGCTACAACTGGAGGATGGGAAGCCGGCTCCACTCTCAATTCTACTCTGCGGTTGCCACACGCCGCAGCTAACTCCAATTTATTGATATTTTTGATACTCTTTTGTTTTTGTTTTTTGGGGGGGTAGCCCCCCACAGCCCCCTCCCTCCCTCACTCTCTCTCTTCCCCCCGTCATTTCAGTTTTCATTTCGCGGTTTTGTGGATATCGCAGAGGTAAGGACAGGAGTATGATTATTCTCACGACTGGAGGAGATGGTGTTATGGGGGTGAGGTAACTCACTGCCTCACCTGTAGGGAGTTACCTCACTACAGGTGAGGTAAAAGTGGGCGGAGGTAGGACCGCCCACACGCCCACAACGCCCCCCCTACTCCACCTCCTGTACACCCTCCTCACTCATTCATGCAGTGAATGTGTATTCTGAAGAATTCACACATGAAACTGTATATATGTAATGTGATACGTACATGTATACATGTAGGGGAGATGGGTACCCACGTACATGCGCACATGTACACACCAGAGCTGAGGGATATGAGCTATGAGAAGAGACTACAGGAACTAAACCTCACGTCGCTGGAAGACAGAAGAGTTAAGGGAGACATGATCCCCACATACAAGTTTGTCAAAGGAATTGATAGGATAGATTGACACAGTTCATTTAACAAAGGAGGTATACAAACAAGAGGACACAGGTAGAAATTCAACACCCAAATGTTCCACAGAGACATTAGAAAGAACATTGTTTAGTGTCATAGTTAACAAATAAAATACCTAGGCAGTAATGTGCTGGAGACAGATACCATACACAGTGTCAACTGCAGATAAAATAGACCCCAATAGATTCAGGAATCTATACAACAGTTGATTGACGGTTGAGAGGTGGGACCAAAGAACCGAAATTCAACCCCCCCCCCCCCCCCGGCAAGCACAATTAGGTGAGTACAAGTAGGTGAGTATACAGAGGCGGAATCAAAGAGCTAAAGCCATAACCCCCGCAAAAATAACGAGGAAACAATACAGGGGAGATAGTTTAACTGAAGGGAGTAATGAAACGTGGCACCCGGGTACCGTAGACTTTATCCGAGTTGGTCAGCCAGCCCTTTCAGAAAATCAACGAGAGCGAGGGGTAACTGATAAATAATCCAGTCATATCTCAAACTTAAAGTGTTATATGTACGAAATTATGTATGCTTTAAGCAGTCTATGTATGAGATACTACATAAGCATCTTCTTAAGTTATGTATGCGTAATATTATGTATGTACAAAAGTATGTGTCTTTATCAGCAAATGTGTATGTATAAGCGTCTCAAAGGTATTTTTACATACGTGTATCATCTCAGGTATACGAAAAAGCATGCGCTGAATAGTGCGCATGTATGAATATACGGAAATATGTATGCTTCTATCAGCGTTAGCATGAGGCTTAATACGAAAGAATGAGATTAGCTCTGTACTTTCAATACACTAAAAAAAAAAAAAGTTAGCCCTGGCACTGTTAATTAAGTGCCTTCCTCCTCACCTGTCGCCTCCTGTAGTGTTGGCACCCACACCATGCTGCCTCAGTGCAACTCCCTCACCTCTCATCCCTCCCCCGCCCCCCCCTTCCACCTCAACTTTAGAATTCCGTACAACTTTATGATGCCGAAAAAACGTTATGTTGTTGTGTAACTTTAAGATGTTTAATAATTTTATGATGATGAACAATATTATGCTGCTGTACAGCTTCATAATGCTGTAAAGCTTCATAATGCTGTACAATTTTATGAGGCTGTAAAGGTTTATAATACAATTTAGCTTTATAATAAACGTCAGCTTCATAATGCCGGACAACTTCATAATGCTGAAGAACTATATAATGATTTACAGTTTTGTGATTCTGTACACCTTTACAATGCTGTACAACTTAATAATACCAGGAGCTTTCGACCCTGATAACTTGTAAAGCCAGTATCAGAACACAAGAACGTGATATCAGAGTACGATAAACTGCTATCAGGGTACGACAAACTGCTATGAGAATACGATAAAGTGCATTCAGAGCACGACATAATGCTATCACAGTACAGCATCGTGCTTCCAGAGTACGACAAAGGGCAGAGAATGTCACAATAAGGAGGTCGAAAATCAATAACCCGAACACAAACAAATTAAATATAATGTAGCTACGACCTGATAAGGGTCCAGGACGGACCGAAACGTCGTCACTACTTGCTAAGAGTCCAAAACGGACCGAAACGTCGTCAGTTCCCGCTCATGTATGGGTTATGTTACATATTTACAACAACGGGCTCCGTTTCTCCTTCCCAAAGTCAACATTTACGTCTCTGAGAATCGGCCCCAACATTACAAATATCTTTTGTCACAAGTAGCCAGGATAAATAATATGGCTAGTTTAGCTCTGCTTACCTTCAGCGGCCAATCCCAGCGCCTCTCCTAACATTAGACAAAGGAACATCGCGCGTTACTATACATATGAAAACCAAATGTCTGCATGGGGAAGTGAACGGGAGGTCACTTGCCTCGCCCAAGAAGTCGTTGGCGCCGTATCTGTCGTAATCCCAGACGGTGATCTCCAGGGAGCGGTTCTTGAGCTCAGGGCGACGTAGTGGGCAGTACACGAACGTCTGGTTCCACCGCGGATCCAAGGTGTTCGCGATGGCTTTCGTTCGTCGCTTCGACTTTTCGCTGGGGTTAAATTAAAGAAAAACGTACAGAAAAGGCAAAAAACGCAGCAGCTCAAGAAAAAAAAATTAAATTATCTATTCTAACAGATTATAAATGGCAGCCTTGTAAATTATTAGAGATTCATTAGTCAAAATGACGGAGC